ATAGATCTCGTATTTATTTAGCATTATATTTTATTGAAACGCTTCAAGTGCCTGTGAGCTGTACGCTAAGTGACGTGAACGCGATATCCTAGATACATTAATGTAACCCAACAAGAGTAGGTTGTTACTACTAACCTACTACTACTATTTACTAAAAGTATAGGTTGTTACTACTAACCTACTACTACTATTTACTAAAAGTATAGGTTGTTACTACTAACCTACTACTACTAACATACTATTACTAACCACTACTAAGGGTAGGTTGTTACTACTAACCGACAACTACTAACTACTAACTATAACGAGTAGTTTGTTACTACTAACCTACTACCACTAACTACTGAGAGTAGATTATTACTACTAACCTACTACTACTAACTACTAACATACTACTACTAACTATAACTAGTAGTTTGTTACTACCAACCTACTACCACTAACTACTGAGAGTAGATTATTACTACTAACCTACTACTACTAACTACTAACAGTACGTTGTTACTACTAACCTACTACTACTAACTACTAACAATACGTTGTTACTACTAACCTACTACTACTAACTACTAAGAGTACGTTGTTACTATACTATTGAGTAATAAGAGTAATAAGAGTAGTAATGTTGTACTAAGAGTACGTAGGAGAGCTCTTGTTGGGTTACATTATTGTATCAAGAGCGTATAAAGAAGGTATATTATACCTTCTATTATACCTTCTATTATACCTTCTTTATATACGCTCTTGATTGTATCTAGCGCTACCCGTGCCTTTGTGTATACTCGCCCTATATATTTCCCCCTCGGGGCTTAGGGACTCTCTCTTTATTCATGTGCTCTTGATTATATGTTATGTGTAGCACGCAGGCAGGGACTAGGCCATGGCGCTAATCGTGCGCTAATACCCCGGTGTTACGTCTATGATAACGTTTATAGATCATCTAACGATGGAATCGTCGATCGGATGGTTGCAGTATCGCGTTTAACGACCCCCCAAAGCTTTCAATGCAGAGTTCAGTAGCAGTTAATGGTGCATGTAGGCCTATACGGTTGTTCTATAACCATCACACAGCTGCGTGCGTGCGTGCGTACGTGCGTACGCGCGTGAGTGCGTTCATGTGTGCGTGCGTGCGTGCGTGCGTGCGTGCGTGCGTGCGTGCGTGCGTGCATGCGTGCGTGCGTGCGTGCGTGCGTCCGCCTCGCGTGTCTGTGTAGTTGGTGGTAGCCAACCCGAAATTGAAGCCAGAACTGAAATTATTTCTCAAAATACGCGATAAGATTGATTACGTGATAGCGTGTGGGTCGCTGAAAGCATCCTGTGTGTGCTAGAGCGCTCTGGTGGCATTCTACTCAAAGAAAAATGTTCGAATTCCATACGCAATTTCCTGATGTCTGAGCGATTTTCAGGCAGTTTTGTAGCAGAAAACGCCAAGGTCGTGAGGTCATGTATGTACAATATCTGCTCAATTTCTTCGATAACAAAACTTGAATAAACCCATCTCCATATAATCAGAAGCAAATGAAAACAAATAGGCTTTTATTCATTCCTGATATATAACGTAAGCACCATTTCGTTATTTTTATTTCTCAAAAACTCGGACCCAGGATAGAAATTCGTCCGCTCACAGGGAACTCTAACGTGTATCTATGCTGTTACAGCCGCCTGCATCTTCGTCTGCTGCTTCTGTCTTTATAACTGTATTTATAACTGTATATATCAACCGTATCTATGCTGTTACAGCCGCCTGCATCTTCGTCTGCTGCTTCTGTCTTTATAACTGTATTTATAACTGTATATATCAACCGTTTTTTATAACTGTATATATCAACTGTATCTATGCTGTTACAGCCGCCTGCATCTTCGTCTGCTGCGAGGTTCTCATTAACTCCATCAGCACGCTGAAGAGCGACCTTCTCCTCATGCACCGAGGCTTCGTCTACATGTGCACCTACGGCTACTCCTTCTACCTCGCGTGGCTCTCCTTCGGGCTGGTGCTTCTCACCGGCTGCGCCTTCATGCTGCTCTCGAAGAAGCGGAAGGGCGAGCGAGCGTACACGGAGTCGGAGGCGCTCGCAAACGAACCGATGCAACTCGGCAGGATATGAGGCGTCCGCAGCGCCATCGCGCGGCCAAACGTGGAACGACTTCGACGCAATATGGCGCCGAGTCGCGAGGTCGACGAGCGGCACCCCGGCGCGCATGCGCAAGTACTCTCCCTAGCGAGAGAGAGAGCGACGGAGGGAGGTCACTGAGTGAGCGAGGCGTGGAGAAAGCGGCGAGGGAGGGCGTGAAAAGCGCGGCGGTGCGGGTGCCGAAGCATGGAGGCAGGCTCGACAGTCTGCGTGAACAGCGAGAGATTCACTCACAGTCATGAGGCGAAACCTCACGTCACCGTCTCCAGTACTACGCCCCGTCACGTTTTCGGGAACGGCTGCGGCTTAATCCGGGAAAGATGTTTCTCTCCCCCCCCCCACCTTTTAACGCGGCTTCGTTTAGACTGACAGCTTTGCGATAATCTCGCGTAGCCACGTTGAAACGTATATAAGCTCCCCCCCCCACCCACCCCCACAGCAATGAAATACACGTTGTCTCCTGGCTCTAACCGACACGAACATTTCTCGTTGATGCGACGAGACAAGGTGAAGTGTTTGCTAGCCACTGCTCGCCTCTGCCTCTTTGGCGGCGGCATACGTGATGCGGACTTGACGAGACAGGCTATCTAATTGCAATCTATAGCGACCGTGTAAAGGGACCTTCAAAGCAACGAGATGCGAGACTATCCGCAGACTTACAGAGAATCATTCACACACACGCGATGCGATCAGCAGTGAGTAATAACGTCACTACGTCAGTGTAGCGAAGGATACGTACCGGAGTGAAGGTGGCGAACGGGTACCAGTGACCAGTCTATACGTAGTGTTCCGGATATAGGGGGTTCTCCAAGGCAGGAAAAACCCGCAAAAAGCCCGCGAAAGGGGGGTTCAGAAATTTTGGCAGTCCTGAGATAGGGGGGGGTGCTTTCAAAGGGAGGGAACGAGCATATGCGTACCCTAAATAACACTGAGTGGAGGGGCCGGGCCTCTCTCTCTTTCATCTTGAATATCATAGAAAACTTTATCAAATCCCGGAATCAAATTCCTGAAATTCCTGCTAGTTTTGAAAGCTCATTCAGGATTATTTCATTTTGAAAAATTAAAAAATATTGCTCCCTAGTTCCCCTCGCTCACTGAACTCTACACTACGTAGTGTAGACTGGTACCCAGTCGACAGTTCCACACGCTACACTAGGGGGTGTATTTGACTTTTCACCCGGAAATTTCTTTAAAAAGGGGGTGTTTTTTTTTTTACAATTCTTGGGCCGGATTTTGTCGCGCGAAAAATACCCCTTTACCGGAGATTTTGGGAACGCGCATGCGGTTCTTCCGACCTCGGAGTGGGGGGGGGGCCGGGTGAGTAACCTGGCGATAAAGCGTCAGCGACAGATGTAACCACTGGTCGCATTATTCCGATAGAACGATCGAAATGTAATTGAAGTGCGCGCGCAAATCGAATGTAGGTGGCGCTGCAGCTGCAGGAACGAATCTGTACCGGAGAGAGGACAGGAATTCCTAGGCTACATACAGTGAACGCCATCGTCTCGGTTCGAATCCCTACAAGATCTATGCAGCGTCCATCTTACGAGGTCAACACACAAAGCGGTCATCGGCGTTGGGACCCAGATCTTCTGGCTTGTCGGACAAATCAGCAATGAACGGGTTGTGGGGGAAGGGATCAACGGCCTCGACAGTTCGCAGGATTTCAGGATTAAATGTTTTTACGTGGTCACATGAAGGTGCTGGCGGAAGGGAAAGATTCTGAGGTTTTTTTTGTAGACTGACGCGCGGTTTGCCGTAGCAATTACGCGTTGGCTGTAGAAATTGACTGTGGTGACGTGAAGGGAAAATTGCTAGAAGGAAAAATTTGTCGTGGTCACGTGATGACGGTAAAAGGAAAAATTGGCTGTGGTCACGTGGTGACAGTAGAAGGGAAAATTGACTGCGGTCACGCGATGAAAGGAGAAAGACTTTCTTTCATCACGTGACGGACAGTGGAAGGAACGATTGAATTTAATCCCGTCGAGATGTTGAGATAAATATCAACAAGAGTACATAATAGAGATCTATTCTATTAAATCACATCTCTATTATGTACTCTTGATATCAAGCATCGCAGACGTCACCGTGGCTATGGTGTGGAGAATGCGCGGGGGTTGCGGGGCAGATGCACTGATCTTTATATACTAACCCTGGTTAGTATATAAAGATTAGTGGGCAGATGGCGCGTGGTTTATTGTAAGCGCAAAAGATCGTCTCAGATTTGAAAGCCTCTGTGGGAGAGGTATACCTACGCGATGCACTGCGGGGGGTATCTTAGCAATATACTTGCCAATGGCGGCCCTGCCCGCGGCTATCATTTTTACAATGTAAATAGTTCTGTAAATAGTTTTCCCCATTTGTTTACGTTATAAGTTTAAGCGTTTTTCAAGAGTTTTTAGAGTGAGGCATTACGTACGCGTGCGTGCATATGTGCGTGCGTGTATACGTGTGTGCTTGCGCGCGCGAATGTCTGTGCGTGCACGCGCGCGTACGTGCGTCTGTCGGTTGTTCATGCGACCCAGGAGCCTACTGCATTGTAAATTATGTTCCTCATATTACAGTAACGTGAAGAATAGACAGAGATCGTTCTACCAATAGTCTGGTTACGCCATTATACACAAGGGAGACAAAGAGCTTCGAGTATAGCCCATGTGTCGGAGGTTGGGAGATATTATGGCATGGACTACCCGAATCACCAACTCACCGATATATATATATATATATATATATATATATATATATATATAATATATATATATATATTGTATAATATATTACAGGCTGCCCCATACTAAAGTCGCTGCTGCTAACGGGGTAACACCATCGTTCCGTTTCCAAACGTTCCTATAATATAATATATATATATATAATTTCTTATAATTCCTGAGAATATGAAGCAATAATTCAAGTAGTCCGTCTATATATAATCCCTATATCATCGTTTGACTGTCCAACAAACTAATATTGCAGACACTGCCAGACAGTGATTAACGGGCACATTACAGCACTTACCTGTGCAGTGCATTACAGCACTTACAGCACTTACCGAACGCAGGTCGCTTGCGTATGAACGCTCCGGAGATGGTGTCACCCGTTAGCAGCAGCGACTTTAGTATGCAGCCTTGTCCTAGTTAGAAAGAACTGACCAAAGATTCTAAATATTTAACAAGCGGCAGAGTGAATATACGCCAATATGTTTGGATTTGGCTCCCGTAAATCGATCACATGCAATTGGGGGAATATTTCATCATTTCTTGCCACTGTGCCAAAATTACGCGGATACAAACATATTTATGAAGTGAGACGTTGAGTGCATAATCAATCAGTTACCGTGTCGCTAGTCAGGCTACCGACGTTGCATTGTTCATTAGATGCCGTAAAATTATCCATTTTTACTTCATCACGACAGTGATTATGACGGTGATAACGATGACCGGGTGTAGTGCGCCGATGCAAAAGCAAAACGCAAGGACTATCCCATTTTTTAAACAGTAATTGTGACAATTAATAGCGTTTATCGAGCACACGTCTATATAGAGTTTATTTATGCACATTTGTTCTACTCGTGGTATCCAGAGTCGTGCCCCCTTCACTATATTGATACGGAAGTTTACCCGTACCAGAGCACGTATATCATAATTTATCATCTTGATATACGTCCTCTGTCAGTACCAACCCTGCAGCGCCATCATGCGGATAAGAACTATGGAACTGCGTGACATAATTTTTAGCCTCTTTCTTGTGAGTTGCTGCCCAAACCTGCTGCTGCTTTTCCCTTCTTGTAATTATGTGGTTGATTAATTAGCTTATTATAATCGAGTGGTCCAACGTTATAGTGTTTTGGACATTTTATACAATTTCAGTCGACAGCATGAAATAAAATTTGTTTAATATTACACGAAGTATTATTCTTGAGATAGTCTACTAAAGTTAAAAGCAAGAAGGCACGTACGGCTGATGCAGCTACGTGGGCACACCACATGTGCTTGGAATTTACGTCTTCAGTCAAGGGAAGACGAAATACTAATAATATTCAACTTTTTACGCCGACAAGCCATGACTTTTTGCTCGTCGGTGGGAGACAACTCGAACATCTGGAACGCTCTTCGAGTTATGTCTAATAAAACAAAAACTAACAACAAGTATCGGTTTAGACTCAGAAGTACGCAGATTCTGCTTTTTTATCTGTCAGTTTCAAAAACTGGGAGATTAATCCCATAGACATCATAATTACAACAAACATGTTGCTTATTAGGTAATGCTAAAAGATATTCATGACAAGTAATGAGTTGATCAATACAAAAAACTGCAAGCCATGTTTAAATACTCACATTATGTATTCAACAATTATTTCAATTATATAGTATGTGTCGATGCATGAATTACCCGCAATAAAAATATTTAATTATATACATATACGCTATAAATAATCAAAATATTGCAATATATCATCAAATCTATACATAGATCTCATTTTAACATTCTTATCAAAATATACACTGAAATAACTATAACGATCACATCAAGTAGCCAATCTCATATTCACACTTACTCATGGAAATACAATTCCAAGGCAACAACCATTTTACGAGACGAATCGATCATGCTTAATCATCCAAATCGTGCTAACTGCCTGAAATATCACCGGAAAACTGTAGAAAACAACCACATCGTCCCCCGCTTTCAAGGTCGGCTCCCTTTCGTTGCGACTGTTTCGTTGTCGGAGTAGATCTGTGTGAACTTGCTAGTCTTCATGGCAGCGTAGTACAGCGGGTAATTATAGATGAGCGACGTCATCTCCACCGTACTGTTCACAAACGCGTGCCGGCTTCTCCTGGCTGAAGACACGATTCACACGTTACGACAGCCAATAGGAGTTAACATTCCCATTATTTCCCATTGTAAATGAAAGTGTCAATGACACTGTAGCTCACCTTGGGTGTGATAGAACTAGAAGAGCGAGGGGGGATATATAAAGCAAGAGTATACATGGGAGAACTTCCATTATATAGCATATCTCCCATTATATACTCTTGATAATGATATATGCATAAATTTTGATGCAAAAATAAATGTTTCAGATCTGATAGTCTGAAATCTTGACGAGAGATGGCGCTCGGCCTAAATGATCGCTATTTTGGTTTTCGAATATCGCGCAAATAAAAACAATAAAATATTCCAGTCAAATTAATGTAACGAATAATCTAAAACACAATATTACACGTATATAGGTATGATTGTAGAGTTGTTAACCAGTTAGACAAAATAAATGTAATAGGACGTTGTCATCTCTCCCATAGGAGTAACAACTGTTTTGGGGCTAGCCTTACACATTCATATACCAAAATTTAACAAAATCGAATGAATCTAGATGGACATTTTCATTTTTGCCAAAAAGTGGGCGTGGCTCGAAAGTAGGTTGACTGGCGTGCTCCAAAAAAATATAGGACGTTCAAATCTCTCCCATAGGAGTAACAACTGTATGCAATTTGAAACATGTGGGTCAAACGGTTCTTGAGTTATCGTTGACTGTAGGCAGAGACTGAAATGCATAGTGAAATTGCCAAAATCTACCTAATTTGCATAATTTAAAAAAAAAATATCAAAACCTGTGTGGTATGTTTTGGGGCCAGTCCTCATTCATTCACATGCCAGAAATGAGCAAAATCCGTTGAACCTGAACTGACTTATGGCCATTTCCATTTTTTGCCAAAAAGTGGACGTGGCTCGAAAGTAGGTCGACTGGCGTGCTCCAAAATAGGACGTTCAAACCTCTCCCATAGGAGTAACAACTATATGCAATTTGAAACATGTGGGTCAAACGGTTCTTGAGTTATCGTTGACCGTAGCCAAATGTTGACGGACGAACGGACGGATGGAAGGACAACACCCCATGGCAATAGCTCATCTTAACAATGTCAAAGCGAGCTAAAAACTGTATTAAAATATAGTAGAACCCCGATTTTACGCGCCCCGATTTAACGCAAAACTCGGATATAATGCGATGAGTCATTGGACCCCCTTTTATTGGCTCTTATTATAGCCACATAGGCGTAATATAGCCACATATACATAACCACGATTTAGCGCAAACCCGCTTTTTTCGAGACGACATCTTATGGACCCCAACTATCGCGTTATAACGGGGATACACTGTATATTTCAACTTGATCAAAATTCTCCCCGGCATCGCACGCTCACCCTGCGCAGACTGGCGGATACACAGCCAGAAGACAACGGAATCCAGGTTCTAACCAATCAGAGAGTGACTTGTGGCAACAAAACCCTAGATAGATTAATTCTAGCCCTTTAGATAGATACAGGTGCATGACGCGATACCTTCGTTGACGAAGAAGTTGATGATTGTTTGCGAGATCCTGATGGCTTCATAGCTGTGTGGAAGATGCTCTCGCTCCGTCCACTCATACACGGCCTTCTCCGGGTGCCACTGTAAGCCATAGAAGGGAAACTTCTTGGCTGAAAACAGGATAGAAGGATAAGGAAACGTTGCACACCAGGGTGAGGATCAGTAATTTTACACTCTGTTGCACGCCGAGTTAAATTTCTTCGTTGCAATATGAAACAAATTGTATCCGATGCGCAATAATGGCAGTACAAGAATGTGCCAAAAAAATCCGTGAATATTACAGGAAAATACAAATGCAGGACCGATTTTACAGTGGTTACCTTCCATAGTAGATATAAACTCCAAGCCATCTTTATCAATGCTCGTGGACAAAGCATCATAGAATTTATCCAATCCAGACAATGAAAAATTCTGCAGGAACAAAACACAAGCTTTACTAGGGAGCAAATAAATAATGTTTACATTATAATAATTCACTTACATTTGTGTCACATAAAACCTACTTGATTTCTTGTACTTTCTTGTACGTTGAGTACTTGGAATGTCCTTAATGACATGGAAAACAAAATTATAACACCCAGGCCACATACCTTCGGTGTCATGCATTTGTGGTGGAAATTGGCAGTGATTGGCTTAGTTTCCAGAGCAACCAACAAGTCCGGGGTGAAACCTTTGAACAGCCTGCTGGTATTGTATGCTGAAAGACAATCACCAAAAATTTCCAGTTTAGAATACCTAATAGAGAGTGTTTAATGCTAAAACTCTAATATTTACCTTTCCATTCTATAAATAAAATTTGTTTGTCTAAATAGTAACACTAACACATAACTGCACATAACTACACATAAACGCTAAGACAATTAACTGATAATGCATCCCAACTAAAAAATATCTACACATGCTGTAAATGCAATTCAAAACCCTGTATTCAACCCTAACAAGTTGGCATATATTAAGACTTTTAGTATATCTAAAGATACTGTAGTGCATTCCAAGCCAAAGTTTACAGCTCATAAACCTTATTACAGAGATCATAATAGTTGCAGGTGCTTTTGACATGCCTGGAAGGAATTTGAGAGGTAGAAGTACATTCTCAGCATCACACTGCGTCAGCCAATTCTTTCCATACACCATCTCAGTCAGCTGTTCGAACCCCAAGCAAATGCCGAGAATGGGAAAGATGTCTCCCTTGGCATACGCCTGCAACGGAAACCTCTCACAGTAGCTAGCAACTTTACCGACAATTTACCTATCCATCCAATTTTAAGTGAGAGATCCACGCTCCCAGGATATATAACTGTTACTATATGTTGGTTACTATAAGACCAGTTTATACACGTTTTTTATGCGTACACGGAAATTTGTAAAACTTTGATCCACTTTGTTGCTAAGCATTGTCTTTTAGAACATGCGTTTGCAACAAAGATCAATTGGCTTGAGTTAATTGTCATTCACTCCAGGTGGATAGGTGAATTGAAATTACTAAAACTATATATCAATATATTTTATAAGCAAGATCCCAACATTGTGTAACGTTATTTTCTATCCTTTCATCTGTATCACCTCATCTTTTCTTGTGCATATTAGAATTACTAACAGAAGAGTTTTAGACCACACAAGGTACACAATAAACGTGATTTTCGAAGGACCTTTGTTTCACTGCTGCAGTGAGGACATGAGCACCCTCTAGTGGTGCTGAAAGGGTCTATGTCCCCCAGGGTACTACCGGAACGTACCCTGGTACCAGAGCATATATAAATCAACGTGGTTTATATGCTCTGCTGGTACTATCTAATATGCCGGACCGTACCTCGCCTACTCCACTAACGAGTCTAGGGAGTCGCCTACGCCTACTCCCTAACCCTAACCGTAAACCTAACCCTAACCATATCAGATAGTTACCAGGGTACGTTCCGGTATTCCGGATCGTACACAGGGTACGTTCCGGCAGTACCCTGGGGGACATAGACCCTATATGAGCCCTAGTGGGTAGTTAAGTAACTACAACATGTCAGGTGTTAATAGCATCAACAGTCAAGGTATTATGATCTCTTAATAGCATTAAGAACCGAGCATCCTGCTAAACATTCTATAGTCTCCACATCCTCCTACATAAAGTCTTCGCTTCATCCCTAATTACCTCTACAGACTTTTCGAAGAAGAATTGTGACGCCTTAGCATATCCTGATGTCTTTAGGTCTTGACCTCCACCAGGCAGAACAACCCTTGAACATATTACACACATACATATGTAAAGCACATCATGAAGATTTTCATGTAAATTACACTGTAAATGTACAATGTAAATCACACTGTAAATTACTATAATTAAAACTACATTATACAAAACACACCATACAGAAATTAATGCATGTGTGGACATGAACATATTGTACTCACCCATTTAATGATTTGAACATTTGCTGGTAATACTCCAATGTCTGGTTTATTCTACATGAAAAAATTACAATTATGAAACTCTGACATCAAAGATCAATCTATTCACTACATGCTCAACCTTCCTAATGACTATAATAACTGAACAGTCGAGAAAGGGAACCAAAACTTTGCGTCCTGCCTTGAACCGATATATTTGGTTTTTTATTCGATCTGTAAATAAATATTACAAATAAAGATACTAACCATTACAATACACATAGAACAATATAAATAAAGACTGTACATGACATAACAACGTTACGACAAAATAATCTCATTAATTTCAATGCGTTCTCTTTAGAGAAATTATACTCTAATTCAAATCACTAATACTTGAAGCAAATAATACACTTCTATCGTTTGCACTCGAAATACAGTTGTAGAACAAGCATGCCTCAAATACAAGCTGCATCAATATTTAGAAGCCACACCTTATCCACTAAAATAAACATTTTGTCACATTGTAACCCTACATTCCTTAATTTCCTTGCTAGGTATTAACGTCATTGTCACTACTTTGCTCTATTAAACAGTCAACATTTATCCTTATTCTAATGACCTGCGTGTATAAAGAAAATAAAGTATAACTTCAGCTTAGTACTGCGTTTTAAATACAATAATTCTAGTCTAAGCATTTTCTACTGCCACACTGAGCACTCTATAATAATTCCCTACAACTATCGCATGCACAGTGACTTCACCTATGCAAAATTCCTATGTAAATATACACGCGAACGGGACCACACAAATTAACCATTAAGCTCAAATAAAGTATCTAAATTATCACTTACTTCTTTGACAGGATACAATTTCATCGTGCCGACCAAATCACAGCAAACTGCCTTGCGCTAGCTCTACTCAACTACTGCCAGTTACACGCCGAACACGCACTGGCTACAACTCTAACTGGCTTCTAACCCATACACGTGACGTCTAGCGAATATGTTGTACCCAAACTTGGAATCTGCACAATCTCGAGATTGTGCAG